AAACTCTTAAACATTTTTTTTAAGAACATAGGCAGTAATCTTTGACATTGGCTATAGAAACATTTTTCTAGATAGACAGTCTAGATGGGCAAAAGAAACCAAAGCAAAATTAAACTATTAGGACTACACCAAAATAAAAAGCTTTTGTGCAGCAAAGAAAACCAAAATGACAAGGCAATCTACTGAATGTGAGAAGACATTTCCAAATGATCATTAATTTGCAAAATATATAAAGATGTTTTACAACTCAACACCATGAAACCCAAATAATACAATTAAAACTGGGCAGAGAACTTGAGTAGACATTTTTCCAAAGAAGACTTACAGATAGCCAACAAACACATGAAAAGATGTTCAACATCACTAATCATCAGAGAAATGAAAATCAAAACCATAATGAGATAACCACCTCATACCTTTCAGAATGGCTAAAATCAAAAGCACAAGAAACAACAAGTGTTGGCAAGGATATGGAGAGAAATGAACCCTCGTGCACTTTTGGTGGGAATGCAAACTGGTGTAGCCACTGTGGAAAACAGTATGGAGGTTCATCAAAAAATTAAAAATAGAATTACCATATGATCCAGTAATTCCACTACTGGATATTTACTCAGAAAATGAAAACACTAATTTGAAAAGCTATATGCATCCCTATTATGTTTATTGCAGTGTTATCTTGCAATTGCCAAGATATGGAAACAAACCTAAGTGTCCATCCATAGATGAATGGATAAAGATGTGGTGTATGTGTATATAGTGGAATGTTACTCAGCCATAAGAAAGAATGAGATCTTGCCATTTGCAACAACATGAATGGACCTGAAGAATATGACACTAAGTGAAATAAATCAAAGACAGACAGATGCCTATGATTTTGCTCATGTGGAATTTAAGAAACAGAAAAAAGGGGACTCTTAAATACACAGAACATACTAGTAGTTGCCAGAGGGAAGATAGGTGCAAGAGATGAGTGTAATAGGTAAAAGGATTAAGAGTACACTTATCCTGATGAACACTGAGTAATGTATAGAATTTTGAATCATTATACTGTACACATGAAACTAATATAACACTGTATATAAATGTTTAAAAAAATTAAACCAGGTTCTTGAAAACATATAGTTCAGTCTTGTGTTTGATCCACTCTTAACAATCTTTGTCTTTAAATTGGTGCATTTAGACCATTGATGTTTAAAGTGATTGTTGATGATTCTCTGTATCTGCCTATCTCCAGGTTTTGGGACAGTAGTTTTCCTCATTACCTCACTTCTCTGAAGGATCTAAGAAGAGTTATTTTTCAGTTTGTTCAGCTTTTTATTTGTTGTTAAGACAGAGTGGCAGCTTCTGTGAATACAGGCATACCTTTTGAGACTAAAGAGAATTTTGTTTCTTCTTTTCCAATCCGTATAGTTTTAATTTCCTTTGTCCCCCTAACTGCAGTGGCTAGCATTTTTAAAATGTTGTTCCCATTCTTAAAGGGAAAACTCTTAGTGTTAAGTATTATGTGTGTCATAGGTGTTCTATAGGCACTCATTATCTAAGGAAGTTCCTGTCTCTCTTGTTTTTTTAAAGTTTATTTTTGAGAGAGAGCACAAGTGGGGAAGGGGCAGAGAGAGAGGGAGAGAAAGAATCCCAGGCAGGCTGTTGTCAGCACACAATCCCAGGAACTCTGAGACCATGACCTGAGCTGATATCAAGAGTCAGAGACTTAACAGACTGAACCACCCAGGCGCCTCCCTCTCTCAGTTTGCTAATAATAGTTCCTCTCCGCCATGAATCTCTGTTTAATTTTACCAAATACCAAATCTTCTTTTAAGATGATCATTTCTAATCTCTTCTTAAAATTAACTATACTAATTGATTTTCTGGAGTCACACTTTTATTACATTCTTAATAAATACAAGTGGGCATGATATATTATTTACATATGTGTGTGTTTTGTGTCTATATTGTTATTTCATGTTATTCTAGTCAGTACTATTTAGGAATTTTGTTATCTGTTCATGAATAAGATTAGTATATAATTTTTTACTTCTCAGACTGTTGGGTTTTGTTGTGTAATAAGGCTTATAAAACCAGATGGCCAGTGCTCTCTTTTCTCAGGAAGAGTTTAAGATTATAATTATTTCTTTTTTGAATTATTAGTCACATAGGTCTACCCAGAATTTTCTTTATAAGAGGAGTTTTGGCTTTTAATTCAGGTTATAGGAACCTGACTTGTTTGTCAATTTAAATTAAAAATTTCCATGAATGTTTCCATTTCGTCTAAATGTTAAAATTTATTAGCATAAAAGTATTCATATATCTTTTACCTGTTGACGTTTTTATTTTTCCTCCCTTTCCTTGGAACTTTTTGTTGGAGAAGGACATTCTTTTTTCCTATCATTAGAAGTTGTGCATTATTTTTAACATTTTCTGGTACATTACAATTTACAAATACTCATCTAAGTACAGTTAATCAGTACTTTTACCTCTTCTTGAACAATACAAAGGTCTTTTATCCCGGTTTGATTTCTATGTTACTGTTTTGTGTATTTAAATTTTATTTGTTTTGCTTAGTTTTAATTCAATAAAGTATACAATTATTATTTTTTACACTAGTGTTCATTTGCATTTATCCACATATATACTGATTTCTTAGTTCTTCATTTCTTTGAATCTCTCATTTAGTATCTTTTGTCAATAGTGGGAAAATTGTTGTTGTTGTTTTGAGAGGGAGTGTGCTCCTGTGCTTGCGTGTTAGTGGGGGAGGGGCCGAGGAGAGAGAGAATCTTAAGCAGGCTCCATGCCCAGCACAGAGCCCAACAAAGGGCTCCATCTCACCCTGTGAGATCATGACTTGAGCTGAAATCAAGTTGGACACTTAACCAGTTGAGCCACCCAGACACCCCAGTACTGGAAGATTCTTAACCGTTTTCCCCTCAAATATTAACCTCTACCTCATTCTCTTTTAGAGTCTCCATTTAATTCAGTCATTCTCACTTTATCCCCCTTGTCTCCTAAACTCTATTCTTTTTGTCATTCTGTGCTATATTTTGATGATTTCTTCTGATCTGTTTTCTAGGCCACGCATTCTTCAGTCAGCTGTTAAATTTTTCCATTGAGTTTTTAATTTCAGTTATTACATTTTCAATTTCTAGGAGTTCTTTTAGTTATTTTTTTAAGCAGCTAGGTCCCTTTTGTGTTTTCCTGCAGATATTTTCAAGCTTGTTTTTTATTTAAAAATAGTAAGTGTAACTGCCCTTGTAGTATGTGTTTGATAATTCTAACATCTTAAGTCTTTGTGAATCTGTTCATTCATTGTCTCTGCAGCCTCTTGCTCAAGGTGCTTAGTGTCTTTCTGTGTTTGGTTACCTTTGTGTGTTGGTCCTTCTCTTTGAAAAATTATGTGTAGGGACAGTTTGAGAGCTAGAAGATAGGTCTTTCTTCTTGAGAGAATTTGTGTTTGTTTTACATTCATAATACTTTATGTTTATGGCATGAGGTTACTTGGACCACCAGGTGGTGGGAATTTGGACTGTAAGTCCCTGCATTGCATTGGTTAATTCTTTCTCTGAGGTATACAGTTGTTTAGCATCCCAGCTTACTATGGAGAGAGTCAGGGTATCTTATTAGACTGTTACTAAACACTAAGGTGGGCACTAAGGTTTGATTTCTGACTCATTACCTTGATACTGTTAGACCTGAAGTTCGCATACTCTAACATTGGCAAATGCAGTCAGGACAGAACTGACTTCTGTGTTCCACTTGACTGTTGGGATTCCTTTTCATTCAGATTTGTCCTAGATATAACCTACTTAATCTTGGCTGTTCTTCAGTGCTTTTAGTGAGTTTTGATTTTTTAAAAGCCATATTTAGCTTCTTTGATTAGAGAAGGTGATCTGAGTAATAACAGTTAACAATCATTCCTAGAAAGAGGTATCATTTTTTTAAAACAATTTGAGTGAGATTCGCAATCTGATAGAAATGACTGTTTAAAAAGGAATGTTTTATATTTTTAGTATATTTTTTATTAATTTGATATATTTGATATTTTTTGATATTTTTATATATTTGATGATTTTGTCAACGGATTTCTAACACATAATGTAAAAAAACTATAGTTGAATCATGTCATCAGTAAATCTGCAGTATATGAAGTTTTATAGTGAATTTTGCCATTTATAAACTTCTGGCTGTGTCAGACCATACATTGCTTACTTTTAATGGGTTGAATAGGTCTGAAATCTCATTTATCTTGTTAGTCAGATGTCTTGTCAGGATGTTTATCTTGTCAGTGTCACAATGGTAGATAGTTGTCTTGAATGTGTTTAAAATAATGAAGTCTGAGAAACCTAAAATGAGTATTTCTAATTTACTCACCTTGCCAGAGTATTTATTCATTATTGCTTATAATTATATTCATTACTATATTTATAATTATATATTCATTGTTGCTTATAATTTATATTGCATGTTCAAGCTGTTTTTAGATTTTGGAGTTCATAGTTTCAGTCACAGTAAAATACAATTAGAAAAAGCATCTTAAATCTCTTTTTTGCGTGTATGCTCTTTTAACTGGCTTTCATACCTGGTCACAAGTGCTTGTTGTACGTGATTAACCCACATTTATGACACAATGTAGTTTAGTCTTCTTGGTAACTACTCAGATGATCTGTAGATTTGTTATTAGCTTACCTGGTGATGTTATACTTCTCATCAGTTAAGAGGTTAGCGCTGGGCCCAAAGAAGGATCCTTATTGTGTTTGCTGAAAGCTAGCTGTCAGTTAGAAACTTAGGGAAGGTGTTTGAAGGTGACCGATCAAGGCCAAAGTAAGAATAGTACCATCTCCCACCTTTTTGCTTTTCACTAATTTAAAATGCATAAATATATGCTTAATCTGGTGTAAGTTCATTGCATCTGTTAGGAAAATAATAACTAAGGGATAATATATTTCTATAGTGTTTATCATGCGTAATCTACTTTGCATTTTAAATCTTTTTATTTTTTTTACTTATAGTAGACCCAAATGATTTGTACATCGTAGAACCCCTCAAGTTCTCTCCAGAAAAAAAGGTAATATTTTGATTGTTTCTAAGTGTATTGTTGTGTTATTTGGTGCTAGACAAAGAAATAGCTTGAAAGGCTTGATACAACCTTTAACTGGTCCTTAAATTTACTGTTTACTTTCAGTCATAGTGATGATACAAATAAATGTTCCAAAGGTCAGCAAACTGTGACCCACAGGCTGTATCTGGCCTGTGGCCTATTTTGTATGGGCCTGGAGCCATCTTTAAAGGGTTGTAAAATAAAAAATTCAAGATAGATGGTATGTGAACTACAAAGCCTAAAATACTTACTGCCTTGCCCTTTACAGAAAAGGTTTGCCTTTCTGTGAAGCAAGTTTATTTGAGAAGAGCAAGTTATGTGAGAAAACTGAAACTTGGAGATTCTGTCTTCTTGGAATGATCCATTAAATAAGTGGCAAAACTCAAAATATACCACGCTTTTTCCATTTTGCCTCTCAAAGGAAGTTGTACTCATTTTGATTAGAGGCGATGGTCTCTAGGTGAAAGAATTTGGACTTACTTGAGAGACAAATGAGCCCAGAATTCAATCCCGACGTGGCCACTTGCTGTGTTGTAACTTGAGCAGAGAACCAAACCTGTGGACCTTGGTTTTCTCATTTAGCAACCAGGGATAAAACACTCCCTTCTCAGAGCTGGTAAGGAAGATGTACCTGAGAGCAGCCTGTGTGGTACCTGGTGCTTAGTGGGTGCCCAGATGTTAGTTATCACCCACTAAATCTCTTGTCAGAGGTGGCAGCTAAGTAAAGAGGTTTTCTTTTAATGTTTTATTTAGTTTTTGAGAGACCCCTGCATGAGTGCATGCTAGTGTGGGAGGGGCCGAGAAAGAGGAGGACAGAATATCTGAAGTGTGACAGGGTGACAGACAGCAAGCCCAATGCAGGGCTCGAGCTCATGAACCATGAGGTCATGACCTGAACCGAAGTCAGACGCTCAGCCGACTGAGCCACCCCGACACCCCAGAAGAGTTTTGACTGAGGTGTGCTTACAAAATGGGGAGGGTGGTATCTGCAGACCCTAACAGTGCACCGTGCTCCTCATAATGCTGTTTCACTTTTCACTGGGAGCTGGCACTTCTGTCCATTAGTTCAGCTCCCTGGGTGTCCTGAGGAGGTAACTCTTGAAAGTCTAATTATTACCCTCTTTTAAAATTTGTATTCTAGAAGAAACGCTGCAAATACAAAACTGAAAAAATTGAAACCATAAAGCCGGCAGATCCACTGCACCCGATAGCTAATGGAGACCTAAAAGGAAGGAAGCCCTTTATGAACCAGAGAGATTTTTCTACTATGGGAGAAGTTTATCACTCTTCTTACAAGGGCCCTCCATCTGAAGGGAGCTCAGAAACATCATCACAGTCTGAAGAGTCTTATTTTTGTGGCATTTCAGCGTGCACAAGTCTGTGCAATGGACAGTCCCAAAAGACAAAAACTGAGAAGAGGGCTTTAAAACGAAGGCGATCTAAAGTCCAAGACCAAGGAAAACTGATAAAAACTCTAATACAGACTAAGTCAGGATCATTGCCGAGCCTGCATGACATAATCAAAGGAAACAAAGAGATCACTGTGGGAACATTTGGTGTCACAGCAGTCTCAGGACATATCTAAAATGAAGAGAACTTTTCATACTGGAGACTTTTTTGTTGTTCTTTGAAGAACAATCTGTGGTATTTGAAGGGTTTGGGGGAGGGAGAAAATACTAATGGGAAAAGTATTCAGAAATTATGGTTTCTGCCTTTTTAAAACAGTAGGTGGGATTGTGTCAATCTTGGTTAATGAGCTGCAGTTTTACAAGGCTGATCACTTCCTACAAGGACAATGGTAGACGTTTTATAAAGATGTTTTTTCACAGATTAATTACTGGGACAAACATAATTTGGAAGCCCAGTTCCTTTGGGTGGGATAGGAATGAAAGCCTAAACCTCTTCCTTTAGCTTTGTTCCTATTTCTTGCACCTTCCCATATTTATGTGCCTTTCGTCTATTTAAAACGCCACTGGAAGAGGAGGGAGAACTTTTTCTGTCATTTGATTTCTTTTATAACTTTGTTAGTTTTTTGAAGCTGCAAACACTACAAGGCTTTAAGGTGATCTGCGCCTGAAGTTCAGTAATGTGGGTCAGACAGTGGAAAGTCCTACAGACTTGCCAACTAGACTTCTGTTTAACAAACTCACTGGAAACAAAAAATTTGCTGGAATTTTTAAGTCTATCCTTTTAGACATTTTCATTTAACTTAATCACACTAGTTTTTCTCTGGTTACTAAATGAGAAAAAAGTCTACAAGATCTTTTCTTGCAAATGACTGGTACTTGCAAATAAATTTTTTGTAAATTCACCTTTTAGACACATTTCACCATTTGTAAAAGATTTCTTTAGCTACATTACATTTTTCAACATTCACAGTAAGCACTAATCCTCCAGACCTCCAGGTTCGTGTTTCCTGTTACTGCAAATGGAGCATTTGAAGGTTTGTCAGATGAGCCCAGGTCTCATACGGTATAATCACTGCCTACATACCTGTACCCGGAACCAGCTAGTGAGTTTGTTGAGCCTTGTCTAATTGGTCAAGTCTAAGGGATTATTATTCCTTGATGTTTGCTTTGTATTGGCTACAGATGTGCAGAGGTATACGTGTGTGATGTCAATGTGTCTGTCTTCATTTTGTCTTTTTTTCTTTAAAAATAATTGGCAGCGACTGTATTTGAATAAAATGATTTCTTATTGTGTGTTTGTACAGTAATGAGTGAAAGTGGAAAGTTTCTTTTTGAAAGGGAGAGAATTGACCATTTTGTGTTGTAAGATTTAAGTTATAACTTATTGAGCACTTTTAGTAATAACTGTTTTTAAACTTGTCTAATACCTTTCTGGGGGTATTGTTTGTAATGTGACCTATTTAAAGCCTTTTTTGTTTGTTTAAGTTGCTGCTTTTAGGTTAACAGTATGTTTTAGATGACTTAATTTTTTTTCCAGTCTGTACAATTAGCCATTCAGAGCAAGAGGGCCTGATTGTATAGAAACTCACTGAAAAGAGGTCCAGATGAGAGCAGAGCAAGAGCGGGAAGTTCCACAATCTGTGCAGTAACCCAGTGTTGTGGAAAGATGAATTTCAATATGTAACTACAGAGCTGTAGTGCCATTAGAAACTGTGAATTTCCAAATAAATCTGAACACTTGTCTTTATTAATTACTGGCTCTTCTGTCCTTTGAAGGAGAACTTACAAATGTATTCACTCTGAACATTGAAGTTTTGCCGCTTTAAAAACTAAATACAGCAACATCCCATTACATAATTCATCACATTTCACCCAACTCTAAACTGACTGAACAAAACATTTTGTTCCCTGTACAATCATAATTTCACCATTTGAAACACGAAAAGGAGAGTTTGGATCTTTATTCAGTGGAATACATATATGTGTTTTCCTCTTATCAGGTGCCATCTTGAGGATGACTAATTTTTCATTGTTTCCACATCAAAATAGAGTGTGATACTTACACTTTATCATTAAACTTTTATACATTTAAACAGAGCATAACATTTTACAGTTTAGGGTTTATTTTTCCTCTCTGAGGTTAGACCTACATGAGGAGAAAAAAAACCTTCTTGGCCATTTGTAGATTTGTGCCGAGTAAGAAGCAGTGTATACCTAATAGGCTTTCGGAGTTCCTTGATAGTCAACCTTGTTCTATTTTATTTCTTCTAACATTAAGCATTAAAGTAGCATAAAATAAAAGGAAACTGAAGGATTATAAGAACAAAGATGCCAAGTAAACCAGTTCCATTAATTGGATTTTAAAAAATACTGTGTTACACTTATATACAAGTTGAGGAATTAGTTTGTTGTAAGTCTTGTATGGGAAAACCGCAATTCTGTATTCTCTGCCACTACACCTACCCCTGCCCCACCACTGCCTTCCCCACCAAGGGTTGTTTGCTCCGCAACAGCAACCTCTTAACTATTGTCATATTTTATCACTTAATGATTTTCCAGTTTGAGAGGTATTCTCAGTTTGAATATATAACCTTACATACATGAATATGAAGATCTGCTTGTTAACCTACTTGAGCAAACCTACATGAGATTACAGTATATGAAGTAACATGTCAATTTAGAAATACTCCTTTTTCTAAAATCTGTATTTCATAGGGGGCGCCTGAGTGGCTTAGCCGGTCAAGTGTCTAATTCTTGATCTTGGGATCTTGAGTTCAAGCCTTGTATTGGGCTCCACGCTGGGGTATGGAGCCTACTTAAAAAGGAATGAATGAATCTGCATTCCATGGAATAAAATTATTAAAAACTTCACGCTTTTACCCAGCTTTTAAATTTGAAAATTTCAAATCCACAAAAAAGTTGAATATCCATTCACCTTTACCCAGATTCAGCACTTAACATTTTTAGGTATTTTTTTCTGTGTGTGTGTGTGTCTATTTGCATACACATATATGCACAAAAGATTCTTTTGAGTGAACCATTTGAAAGTTAGGGCATTATGACCCTTCACCCCTAAATGCTTGAGCATGTTTTCCTAAGAATAAGGACATTCAGCTATGCAGCCACAATACTAGTATCATGCCTAATGAAGTTAGTAATTCCATAATCTAATACACAGTCTGTGGTCAGATTTTTCCAGTTGTCCTCTGTGAACACTTTTGGTTTTTTTTGGTCCAAGTTCCAGTCAAGGTTCACTTGGTATTGTCTATTTAGGGGTGTTTTAAAGTTTATTTTATTTTTGAGAGAGAAAGAGCACAAGCAGGGGAAGAGAGAATCCCAAGCAGGCTCCGCACTGCCGGGGCAATATGTCTTCCTTGTGCTTTCTCTGAATCATTCTAGTTTTAGTGTGTGGGCTCCCAAAGTGGGCACTACAAGCTTTTCTAGTGATGTGCTTGATACTGTTACTAAATTTTATCCCAACCCACAAGTATCCATTTATATAACATTAATACATTTTAAAAAGTTATCCTATGGGAACATATTCATGACCTCTGCATCATACCCCACTTAATCTATTACTTTAAAATTTAATCTTTAAAATATTGTTTCCAACAGAGTTCATCAATTGCAACTGTAAAGCCATACACCCTAGACTACCAACTTAGTGTTACTTGTTTTTACAAAGCATGTTTGAAACCCACCCAAGTGTCAATTGTTAAAATATATAAAGTAGTTAAATCTGAGCAAATATAAGCATTTTTATTATTTTCCCCTTTTAAATTGAAGTTTAGTTGACACACAATGTTATGTCAGTTTCAGGTGTGCAACACGGTGTTTGGACACAGCATGTATGTTGTGCTGTGCCCCCCACACAGCCATCTGTCACCGTACAGCACTATTATAGTACCACTGACTATATTCCCTGTACAGTACCTTCCATCCTACAACTACTCACTCCGTAACTGGAAGCCTGTGTCTCCCACTCCCTTCACCCACTTTGCCGATCCCTAACCCCCATACCCCCTGGCAACCATCAGTTTGTTGTCTTTATTTATGAGTCTTAATTTATGGGTTTCTGCTTATTTATTTGTTTTGGGGTTTAGATTTCATATATAAGTGAAATTATGAGGTTTTTTTTTTATCTGACTTATTTCACTTAGTGTCATACGCTCTAGGTACCCCTCCATGTTGCTGCAAATGGCAAGATCTCACTCTTTTTATTTATGGCTAATAGTCCATTGTATGTATGTGTGAGTATCTACCATCCCACATCTTTATCCATTCATCTCTACTGATGGCCATGTAGGTTGCTTGCATATTTTTGTGTTAACATGTTAATTATAGGGGTGCATGTGCCATTTTGAATGAGCATTTTTAGTTTTGTTTTTTGTTTTGTTTTCTTTTTGGTAAATACTGCATTTGTGATTTTTAAATGAATAAGGGATAAAAAGCAAGTTTTAAACCCATGATGGTTTAAAAAGTTCCCCCAGGTAGGTGATGCAGTTTAAGAGCAGGGGTTTTCAAATCAGAATGATTTTCACATTTGTTCTCTATCTCTTACGATGGCACTGGACAGATCACAGTAAGTGACAATCTCACTAAGCATTAGATTTCTCACTTGTTAATGGGTATAATAGCACTTACTTGAGAGGATCACTGTGAAGACCAAATGTGCTAATACATTAAAGCTGTCATGTACCAAGCATATACTACATACTCAGGGTGAGCTATTCATGTCTGGATGCTCCAAGTCCGATCTCATCCCTGGTGTCTGACTATCTACCAGCAGGCCAAGAAAGGAGCTTATGCTGGGTTAAAACTCATCTCCAGCCTCAGTTTACACCACCTAATGGTGTAATGAAGGATCAGCAGGGAGGTTCGAGCCAAATGTGCTCAGAGTAAGACCCTCAGTGCTTTCATCACAGGGTCAGTAAGCCACCCCAGACTCTGTGGGACTCCTGGAAAGTCCATGTCTTGTGTCACCCATTTCTACTCAGTATAAAGCCTTGCCACATGTTTTTTCCTCAAAATCATCAGGGCCAATTTCATCTGCCCTTGACTCCTGTTAATTTTATCACGGCAAGAAGCCCCATAAAGGTGCCTGGGTGGCTCAGTCGGTTAAGTGTGTGACTTCTGATCTTGGCTCAGGCCATGATCTCACAGGTTGTGGGTTCAAGCCCCATGTCAGGCTCCTCACTGACAGTGCAGAGCCTGCTTGGGATTCTCTTTCGCCCTCTCTCTCTGCCCCTCCTCTGTTCATGTTTGCGTGCGCTCTCTCTCTCTCTCTCTCTCTCTCCCTCTCAAAATAAGTAATAAATAAACTTTAAAAAAAAAACCTGCCCCATATGGCATTTCACATTTTTCCTTCTGGAATATTCTTCCATATTCCCTCACCCACTCCTAATCATTTCCACTGTGCTCTCCGGAACTCAAAATCAATCATCAATCGAATTTTCTACATCTTTTAACTTGTCTCTACCTTACTTTCACCTCCTTATTCTAGTCAAAACTACTTCCGTCAAACCCTTTCCAGGTCAATTTTGTCCTGCACCCCTCACACCTCTGAGACTGGAGAGAGACTAGACAGTCCCCTTAATCTTCCATGTCCTAAAAGTCACGGTCTGAATCTTACATCAACAAACCATACCATCCACTATTTCTCCTGGTTGCAAATGAACCCCTGTTTTCTCTTGCCTTCTCTCATCTTCACTCTTGGAGTTCCTGTCATTCCAGGATGGCCTCTGTCACAGTTCAAGAGGATTTCAATGTCCACCTTACATTATTTTTTCTAATTTCTCAGGTCCTTGCCTTCTTTCTCCAATGATAATGATCAATAGCCACTTATTTCCACTGATTAAATCCTAGGAGTGTTTTTGTTTTAAAGATTTTTTTTAAAGTTTATTTATTTTGAGAGAATAAGTGTGAATTGGGTAGGGGCAAAGAGATTGGCAGAGAGAGAGAATCCCAACGCGGGGCTCAAACCTACGAACTGTTAGATCATGTCCTGAGCCGAAGTCAGAAGCTTAACAAACTGAGCTATCCAGGTGCCCCTCGATCCTAGTTTTTTTTTTTTTTTTTAATTTTTTTTTAAATGTTTTATTTATTTCTAGGAGAGAGAGAGAGACAGCGTGAGCAGGGGAGGGTCAGAGAGAGAGGGAGTCACAGACTGAAACCGGCTCCGGGCTCTGAGCTGGCAGTCAGCACAGAGCCCGACGTGGGGCTCGAACCCACGAACCGGGAGATCATGACCTAAGCGAAAGTCGGACGCTTAACCGACTAAGCCACCCAGGCGCCCCTCGATCCTAGTTTTCTGACATTACCAATATCCATAATCCTGGATACCAGTTTCAAGCATCCAGTTCTGACCACCACCTCCTACTCTCTGAGCTCATTCCCCCTCACACCCTAACTCTATTCTTTGCAGTCCCATCGGAGAGCACCCAACCCAATACTGCCAGATGGCGGTCATGGTGTGCTTCCTATTCTGTCTCCAGAAAACTGCCTCTGTCACAAACCCTGGGAATGCTGTTCAATCACAACAGGTCACAGACACTTCATACACACCATCAGAGCCCTTAGCAAGCCGGTCTCTCAACCTTTGAATTTTCTAGGTGGGACTCAGTCACCAGTCTCTTGCACTCCTTCTTCCCCCAACTTTAGGGGCACATACTCCTGGGGGAAGTGATCTTATTCCCAGATTAGAGGTAAATCTTGGTTAGTGTGAATCAGCCATTCTCCTCACCAGCGACTG